CGAGACTTTATCAGAAATATTCCTTGCATTGAGGCAGAATCAATTTCCTACTTTGCGTTTACTCAAACTTTGTAACGTGAGGAAAACTTTTTCGCTTGTTTTTATAATTTGTAGGCTTTTTTCTTCGGACGTGATGGATCGTTTAACAAAGCAATTTGTTATGCTCTTTATTTAATCCCTGATTTATTTGTCGGTTGTTGACAATATTAGGACATTTCCGCTTCATGACTGGTGCCTAGGATACTCAAAATTCATCTATATAGTTTTAAAGATGGCTAACTAGCCAGGGTGTGATAGTAAATTAGGACTGCTAATATTAAATGTCTAGTTGACATAAAAATTTGAGCCTGAAATGAAAATTAAAGCTGTACTAGGTCCATCTTCATTCCTCATTATGAAGATGACCGAAAATTTGCTTATGAGATTATAGTACTACGTACAAAAATCATATCACTTTTAGCTATACTCTTATTAAAATAGCAAAATTTGTGTCCATTCATCTTTTCTTGCTTTTTACAGCATATATAATATTTTATTATTGTGAATAATGAGCTAACAACATGTATTATTATACTACATTTTGTTGAAATTTTCTCAAGATAAACGCAACATTATAGTTTGTTTGCTTGTTTTCATTATACCTGATGCAATAAAATAACTTCCGCTCGAAAATGGATGCTTTAACTCTACGTTGCTGCTACCATCATTGGCTATTTCAATTGTCATATCGCATAGTAAAATGAGAGAGGATCAATAATTTCAATGTGTGTCAAGAAGATAGTATGACAAAATAAATTAATCTGATTCTTATTCAGTTTGTTTTACAATTATAATAAATATTTCAGTGCATAAATTTAAGGCTGAGTAATTCTTCCCTCCAGACATTCACCAATTATTTTTAAAGAAAAATGTTATCCATAAAAATACATATTTGTATTTTTGAAGAGAGATGAATTCAGGAGAACAAGAATGTGGATTCAATTTTAATCACTATTTTTTATGGCAGTTATTTGAATGCGAGTCTTGTGAACGGATGTACATTCTTGCCTAAATGGTATACAAACGTTAAAATTGCAACTCAATTTACTCTGCCCAATTGTGCATAATACAACCTATAATTTCTGCCCGTGATTGAGAATAGGAATAATATTTAATAGTAATGCATCTTAAGGAATATACAGGATATTAGCTTAGGCCATTTTCTTCTACATTTGTTGATGGAGAGATTGAAATCAAACAAACTTAATGAATAAGCATAGCATCTAAGACAGCTTTACAGCCGAGCAAATCAACCGTTCACCTTCTAAACGACATGTAATTATTCTTACTTAATATAGTTTTCTTATTCAATTATTTTATTTTAGCAGAAATGGTGAGCCGACTCATTGCCCTGACAACTAGGTTTTGTCACCAATCGCTTAGAGTAATAATAAACAGTCCTCGGATTCTATATCTGTGTATCTATTCATTTTAGGTAACGATAATGTTCCAGGAAGGTGGTTTTATATTCCTATTAGGCTGATGGTATGAAAATACAATTGATCAAAATATGTAAATTTAGGTTTCTTTCAAATATCGAAATTAAAAAGCCTCTTTACGTACACATAAATGCAAAGGGGTGAGAAATAAGAGGCTAGTATATTAAATAAAAATCGAATAATTTATTGTTTAGCTACACTTAAGGATCAAGGCATACATAAATCCTCATTCATCTTAATCCTTTTACCAACTTATTTGAGAAGAAGGCTATGAAAACAAATCCGAAAGAAGATTCAAACTTATCTGAATAGTTCACTTATTTGTTTTTTAGAATATGTAGAAAACTTAGGAAAAGATTTTAAATTTTTAGCATGCGGCTTACGTGAAATTTCTGAAGTTTCACACGTTAATAAGCCCAATATAAGCAGTGTATTACCAAACGAATGAAGTTATCTGAAAATTATTTTATTATTACCATTCTGCGAATTATCTGGCCTGATTTATTCGGCTCTGTAACAAGTTATTCTCTCCCTATTAACAGGTCTCAAAAGTATGCAAACTTATCAAAGATTAATACGTCTTGGTTTCAACATAGAAAGATAATTTTTATGGGAGAACAAATAGCTTTCGTGAAACAAAAAGAAATTCACATCAAGTTACTTAAAAACGCACAAAAACAAAAAAGGTTATGTAAAGCAAGCGCCAAAAAGTAAAACTGTCTTTAAATGGTGAATTTCATCCATAAAGTAAGTAACGCCCTTTAATAATACCCTTTATAGCCATTTTAGCTCATTATTAGATAGTTTTAAAAAAATATAATTAGTAGACATGCTTAAAGAATTAACAATTACTTTATGAATAAGTTTTGCAGGATTACAGCGTGTTTTATTAAATGAATTTACTCACAAAGGTTTCTGCAAAACGTATCACACCATATATATCGCTAGTTATCCATATTTATTCACAAAATGAATAATTATTCGACCAATTTCTATATTATTAAATATTTAGATATTTCTCGGTTACTTAATAATTGTATGCGATAACGTTTAGTCGATGGCTACACAAAATATTAAGAGCAAGATGATTAACCAATTTTCTTTCAACGAAACGCTCTTTTGCGGCAATAAATTTTATTTTTATAATGATTATCCTTATGAGTTCACTTTTCCTAACCTCGCTTTGAGAATTCATTCTGTTAAGTGAACAGATTGAAGAAAAAAATGCATGCTTAGCTGAATTAAAAACATTTAGATATGGAAAGTTTCTTTTGAAAATAAGAGCGATGAATAAAGAGTCACTGAACAATAATGAAAACTATAATAATTCTCAATATCCTTTCCTATTTAATCTTAAGACAAAACTATTTAAAGGCCAAATAAAATTAATCTTAGGCTTTTCTATATCTTGTCTAGCTCTCGATATTGTATCACCTAAAATGTGACAAATTATTTCACGTGAGCCAATTCATAATATTAGAGCTCATAAATTATCAGCAAATGTTTCGACTGCGTAAGGTTAAATTTACACCAGTTTACAATCTGATTTTGAAATGTGCTTATTTAACTTGAAAGGATACTTAATAAAATTTCTTTACTTCGTACTGCATTCTTACTGACCTTTGCACTGCATGCCCTGGCGGAAGAGGCCATGAAGTCTACGCTTACAGTGTTGGCAAATTGTCGGTCGAGCGGACCTGTGAAGAACGAAAGTGTGTGGCACATGAACCTGGTCGGGATAGGAATTGTCCATCCACAACGATCTGCCACACCAGACCATGGAACCATATGGCCTGGTCGGTATGCTTGTAGGCTGGACGATGGTGGGAAGTTCTGTATGCTCGACAGGGCTGACAAGTTCAGCCGTGGAAGCAACGATAATGGGAGCTGCAGCAGAACAAGTGTCATTCACATTTGCCAAGTTCCAACCAATGAAGTGGGAAACATCTCTTGAGTTGGACACCGAAAGACATGAGTTAGCACATGATAGTGCGGCAGTGAAGGCGCTCGCAGGTATGGGGGCCTGATAACTCCTGAAGAGATGTTTGTTGAAATTGTGTGAATGATAGATTGTTTAGTTTATCAATC